TTTCTACAGAAGGAAAGCTGCGAATAACATTGGCCGAACATGCGAGCAACGACGAAGTTATGGATTAAAAGGAAACAAAAAAGGACATATGTAGTTAACCTCAGAAAGAGACAGTTGAAATTTCTAGCGCTCATAATGAGAAAAAGAGGAAGATTAAATTCAAGAGGAACAGACGAATGCACTGGATTACCTACCTAGAATGTTCAGCAGGGCCCCGTATGATCAGAACATTTTTAACTCCGTTCAGCAGATATTACTGAGAAAAGAACGGCTCTGTGCTTCTGTACCAGCGGAATACTGCCCGCACATGCGTGCCACTCATCATGCTCTGAGAGATACTCGACAACGTCCCTTGTCGGCAGGATCGCCATCGTCATCTCCATTGTAATTTTTTTAATCGATTCACGCTGAAAGGGACGATAATCAACTAAGACGCTAGTAAGGCTTCAAGAACACCAGAAAGCTGTAAAACGAGGTGATGGAAAAACAGGCGTGGTTGACCACATATGGAGAGAGAAGGGAGATCATCACCCTCTGTGGCATCATGTTGAGATCATAGACAAGGAACACCATTGGAAAATTCGTAAACTTAAGGAATCAGCACATATGCTAGGCCACAAAAATCTCCTGAGCTGACCAAGCATAGAAATAAATACAATATGGGAACCAGTAATAAGGAGTGCCAGAGAAAAGCAATGATAACAACAACAGTTGCAATATGAACTCTGGAAAAAATATGAAATGATAACAACAAAAATTGCAATATGAGCACTGGTAAAAATGGTTGCTGAAGACATTAGGTTTATAATACCCAGAAATTCATACTCAGATCAAGGACACATGGCACAGTGGATAAAGGCGTTGGTTAGATCCAGGACCCAAAGAGTGTGAGTTCAATACCCGGTTAAGGCAGTGGAGAACTTTCAGAGAGAAATTAACAGGAGATAACTGATAACTGACATCAATCAAACACATGGCACGTGGAACTAGAACACGCTACCCCAGCGAGCGAAATAAAGGGTTCAGTTCGAAATTCCAAAGCCGAAACTTTGTGATAAATATGGCGGACAATAGTCCGAATAATGTAAATAATTTACATAGTACCTCATCTCAGGAATATAGACAAACCTTTATTCCTATTCAAAAGATCAATGAGAATCGTTCATTTAATCCACCTATAAGGTGTATTTTATCAACAAGATTAAAAAGTGTTGATTATTTTTCATGAGTGCGATTGTCAGCATATAAAGTTTCAAATTGTTTTAATTCTCAAGCAAGATATACAATATATTTATATCGAGCTTGTTTACTGTTTATGCACTTAATATTTAATTTGTATGTTTTAGGACGTATCAAACATTTTATGCGTTATTTAAAGCCTAAATATTTTTGTTTGTATAATAATAATTCTTTGAAACGTTTAAATATATTTAGCGAGTCAATATTGCATTAATACTTATTTGAGAATATCAATTATTTTTTCTGATACAAATACTACTATTTAACCCATAGTTGGAGTAAGCTGATGTATTCTTATATTTCATAATGGTATTTTTTTTCAATAATATACATTCGCTGATAGATTCTTGGCCTGGAAATTAAAATATTCGGAAAGAATAAAAAATGATTAAACTTTGATCGAGATATTTGAGTAGGAAGTGAAGATTATGATGATGTAGAGAATAAGTAAACAAAAAAAAAAGAAGAAAATGCACCTGAAGTGCGTGAATTTAAGATTGTATGGAAGCATCCACGTGATATTTTTTTCCACAAAGCAGTAGTTCTTCTGAAAAAGTCGTCTGGGTGTAAATTTCTCCTTACAAATGGAATATGTAGGGATTAGTGTGGTACGACTCCATATAGGATAAAAGTAGAACAAAGGAATATAGCTCGTCTAAATATTTGTCATAGACAAGTTTGTGAGGGACAGGGACTGCAGGACGAAAAATAATTGACCGAAACAAGGCTGCGGAATCGACTTTAAACTTTAATGAAGTTTTACGTAATGTTAACTGCAATCAGTTCAATTACATGCAAGATCTATGGCTTAAACCACTTTCTAAGAATAATGAATACCAATCTATATTTATGAGATGACGTATTATAATTTACATTATTTATATTGTTCAGACGGTTATTCTCATCTCTGTTGCCATATTAACGGCGTTTCGGCCGTTGTACACTCCGGCTTTCTCTGTGATTGGAATTTCGAAATGAACCATTTATTTCGTCCACTGGGGGAGATTGTTCTAGTTCCACGTGCCATGCCTCTTCCAGATGTCTCAGTCATTCCCCTTTAACTAAGCTCTTCTCAGTAGCTAGGTATTTAACGTCGCAACACTTTAAGTCAAGTCACTGGATCCAGCTAACGCTTTTATCCACTGGTCATGAGTCCTTTAGGACATCAGTGCATGAATTTTTGGGGAATTATAAACTTAATGTCTCAGGACCAATACTTTTTTTTTTTTTACCAGAGCTCGTATTGCAATTTTTGTCGTTATTATTGCTTTTGTCTAACACTCCGGATTACAGTTTTCCCTATTGTATTCATTTCTATGATTGGCCGGCTTAGGAAATTTTTATGGCCTAGCATATGAGCTGATTTCTTAAGTTTTCGTTTTTGCCAGTGGTGCTCTCAGTCTATTATTTCAACTTCATCCCACAGCGAGGCGGGGATCTCCTTTTTCACTTCATATGAGGTCAGCTACACTTGATTTTCCCTCGTGTTAGGTCTTTACGATGTTCTTGTAGTCTTATCTTAAGGGGGCATCCTGTTTCTCCTTTATATCTCTTACCACAACTGCCGGGATGACATACACACAGACTTTAGTCATGTTTTCCTCTATGGGGGCTCTTACACGGTAAAGGTGTCTACGAAGTGTTAAACCATTTTTGAAGATTGTCCGGATCTTATATGCACTATATATCTTTTGTATTTTTTGCGATAATCACTTTACATATGGTAGGCAGACCGAAGCTAATTTTTGAATGTCGTTATCCTCTTGTACCCTTCTATGCCAATTTGTCGGAAATGCTGCCATGTACCCAGGGTAGTTGTTACGTTTTAGGGTACTGTTTATACGGACATTTCCTGTTCATATGTATCTGGGTCGCCACTTATGATTTTGCTTGATATTGTAAGCAGTAGATGATCCCATTCTTTACACTGTATGGTTGGTGGAAGTTAAAGTTGAGGTATTGTCCGGTGAATGTAGGCTTGTGGTATACAGATGACTTGAACCCATACTCTGTTCCGGATATTAGTACATCCAGGGAAGTGCGTTTGTTGTTTTCTTTTTCCATTGTGAACTGTGTCGATGATCTTATTGAGTTCACATGGTCCAGTAATAATCGGATCTCTTCCTAATGTGAGCAGAGTATGAAGGTGTCATCCACGTATCTCAGCCATAGGGTTGGCTTTAGTGATGTGGATTCTAATTCTATTTCTCGGAAGTATACCATGTATATGTTTGCCGCTGCTGGTGTTAATGAGTAGCCCATTGCTAAGACTTCTTCCTATCGATATATGACTGATCCCATTCCGAAGTGTGTTGTTTGTGTACAGAAAAAAAAAGAAAACAATGAAAACAGATCGAAAACTGTCGCAGATCTTCATCAAGAACAAGGACTAGTTCCCATCTAAGGCATACAGACAGTTACAAGAAGTTACCTCACATATACAGTCGCCCCAGAATGCACAAAGATAGTATTCTGCTCAAGGCAATTATTAGCTGTCAAGTCTCTGTGTGCCACCCTCCAAGTCGCTTACTTGTCGATATAATTGACCATTAATAGGAAAGTCACTTTCATATGCCCGAAACCTCGGCCACTTTGTGCAAATAATCAAACATTCTCCTATCCATTCCAACCAGATGATGAGCCTGGACGTGGCTTGTTCACCAAGGTACTCACAGACGAGGCACTATATTGTGATCAGGGGCAGACTGGCCTCGGACTCATCCCTAGGACAACGGACCAATATACTAATAGATAACCTGTTAGAGATGCTGACTTTCTGTAATAAATATGTGTGTATGGTTTGTCATGTTATTATTTACGAAATTTTCTCTTTGTGATTGGCTTTATATGCCTCATCAAGCCTCCTTGTACGGCCTTAATAAATATTAAAAATTGATCGATATAAACGAATTTTCAAAGTTAAGTTACTCGAAATTCTGGAATATAAGACTTATTATAAGATTTTCGTATTTAAATCATTAAGGTGGCGTATTGTTATTAACACTAAAACCAGGAATTAGCATTAAAATAGGAGTAGATAGAGTACCTGACTTTTAAGAAATCGGTTAGATCGATCAATTTTTAGTAGTGTAGTGGTGTTAGCTTGCGCAGGTGAAGCTTTTATTTCATTTCACTAATTAAGGAGCCATCATTTCATTTGGCTGAAATATAGTACGTTACTGTTGGGAAGAATGAGTTTTATTTGTCATTTATTGCGTTAAATTTTATGACGGCCGCCACATCGATGTCGAACATGACTATTGCAAGATTTCGTATATATATACATAAGTAATAGACTGGTTCAATAGTAATTTCCGTTTCGAGAACCAACTGTAATGGCGAACCGATTATCCTGTCTATTTATCATACGCGACAGTAAAGGAAAAGTCGAGTAAACTAAGGTCCTTTAGATTTTTTACAGCAGTGTCAGCATAGACATGGATTAAAGGAAGAATTGTTGTCCTGCACAACATCGCAAGTTCGCAGGGAAAAACAGTAGGGCACGAAATGTTTTAAAATACTGTTGCTGCAACGTCACCTTAATATGCATCAACTTATTACCTTTTTATTTCGCTGCCAAACGCTGTTATGAGAAAAAACTTTCTATGATGATAACCAACGCGAAGAGACCGCTGAAGAGTTTTTCACCTCTAAACCTGTGAAAGTTTAATCAAAGAATCGTCTGATAAGAGGCAACAAATTATTGCAATTAATAGTGAATTTTGTATAAAGTTGATAAACAAAAACAGGAATTACCATATATATACCGGTTCCCGTAGGATAACCGAAGTTAAGCAACGTTGAGCTTGGTTATTACTTTGATGGATGACATCTTGGGGATACGAGGTGCTGTAA